CAGACTTGTGGTTGCCCAGGGGGGCGGAGGGTGGGAAGGGATAGACTGGGATTTCAAAATAGATAAACAAGATTATACTGTATAGCACAGGGAAATATACACAAAATCTTATAGTAGCTCACAGAGAAAAAAATGTGACAATGAATGTGTATATGTCCATGTATGACTAAAAAATTGTGCTGAACACTGGAATTTGACACAACATTGTAAAATGATTATAAATCAATAAAAAACGTTAAAAAAAAAAAAAAGAAGAAGAAAAATCAGAGAAGCCCCAGCACCCTGATCTTGGATCTTGCCTCTCTAGAGAACATGTCAATTTGCATTCAGCGACCAAGACAGTTGGTGAGATTCTCTGAGAGGTCCACTTAACCAGTAGCTGAGCTGTTCTTCGAAATGCAAGACGGGACTTCTTACTGGTGCAGAAACCCCTGCATGTCATTTGGTCTCTGAGGTTATGATTCACAGAGTGCCCCTTCCCAGGGCCCTTCCTGAGATATAAAAAGGGAGTTACAGATCTGGTTTAACACCAGCTCTTCACTGGCTCACTGTGTGACCTTGAGCAAGTCCCTCTTTTACTCTGGGTGTCAGCTTCTTTGTAGGATGATACGGGACATGGTTTGACTAGATATTTTATAATGGATCTTTAATAAAATGAGAATAATGCTGCTTTCCCTGCTTCTTAGATTTGTTGTCAGATTCAAATGAGTGATACACATGAAAGCATGTTACAAAGTTACAAATGCTGCTAAAGAGGATGAAGTTTTATAAAGTGCAAACACATATGTGCATAGTAGTACGTAAATGTATATATGCCAACTATAACCAACAGATTCATAAATATACTATGTTGGTATATTCATAAATACACCATGATGTTGAGCCGTCATCTCTCTGTGTGTCTACATATTTCAACATCCCTACCTGTCTTCCTTTAGAGAAGGGTCTATGTCTGCAGGAACAGATAATGAGTGGCAGTGTCTACTTGAAAACAGCTTGTAGAATATTAGTGCAGTTGCCAGCTAGATAAGTACAGTTTCCTTTTTTTATTCTTCAAATGCATCTTTATTTTTTTCAAAACAACTTTTTATTGACTTACAATGTTGTGTTAGTTCAGCTGTATAGCAAAGTGATTCAGATAAATACATATTCTTTATCAGATTCTTTTCCAGTATAGGTTATTATAAGATATTGAATATAGTTCCCTGTCCCATATATAGGTGGAAATGGTAGTTTTTTGTACCTCCCCTCTTCTTTCTTCCTTTCTTTCTTCTTTTCCCTCTTTCTTTCATTCTTTCTTTCTTTCTCTTTCTTTCTTTCTTTCTTTTGTTCTTTCTTTCTTTCTTTCTTTCTTTCTTTCTTTCTTTCTTTCTTTCTTTCTTTCTTTCTTTCTTTCTTTCTATTTGATATTCACTCTAGATTCCTTCATTTAACATGTCTATAATGAGACTTAGGTGCAAGGTTATGGGAACACAGTGGGGAATTAAACAGACATGGTCCCTGCCCCACATATTTTACAGTCTAATGAAGAAGACTGATAAAGACAATATATAGATGACTGGACATGGTGAAAAGTGCTGGGAAGGAAAGGGGCAAGGAGCTGGGAGGTATCAATTCTAAAGAAGGTGCAGTGGACTGAATGTTGTGTCCTCCAAAATGCATATGCTGAAACCCTAATCCCAACATGATGGTATTTGGAGGTTGGCCTTGGGAGATATTATGTTTTGAGGGTGGGGCCCTTGTGAGTGGGATTAGTGCTCTTACAAGATGAGGTCAGAGAGCTAGCTCACTCCCTTTCCACACCCCAGACAAGGGCTGACCAGAACCTGACCAGGCTGGCATCCTGATCTTGCATTTCCAGCCTCTAGAACTGTGGGAAATAAATTTCTGTTGTTATAAGACACCCAGTCTGTGATACTTTGCTATAACCACCCAAAAGGACAGAGGCTGTCAGTAAAGGGCTCCCTGAGAGAGGTGAATTTAAAGCTGTCTCCTTAAGAATGGGGAGGAAGCAGCCATGTGACAAGCAGAGGGGGAAAGCATTTCAAACAGAGCGGCAGCAGGTGCCAAGGCCCTGAGGCAGGAAAAAAAAAACAGGAACACAGCCCAGGGGCTGGATTGCAGGAAACAAGGTGGAGAGAAGGGTGGGTAAATGGCCTTGGCAGAACTTGTGGGCCATCACAGAGGGCATGAATCTCAGGAAGTTGTAAGCCAGGCACAACCCTCTTTATATTTGAGTAGTATAGTTTTTGGTTCTGTGTGGGAAGTGTGTTGTGGGGAGCCAAGTGAAAAGGCAAGAGGACGATTAGCACAAGTGTGGTACCCGGGCTGGGGGCACAGATTCAAGGGTGAATCAAGAGCCTTTCTGACCAGTGGGGTGTGTCGGAGTGAGCAGGAGAGAATAATCAGGATGGTGTCAAAGATTCTGGACTGAGCACTGGGGGTGGATGATGGATCCAAACGGGGAGAATAGATGAGTTTTGGGGAAACATCAGAGCTCTGCCTTGGATGACTGAAGATGCCTGAGGGACTAGTGAGTGGAATCAATTAGTGGCAGATGGGGGTTGTATCAGTCTGATTCAGTCCGGAAAATGGAAACCACACCAGTCATTTTACCAGCGAGAACTCAATACAGGATTGGTTCAACAGATGCTGGAGGACTGAGGACAGAAAAGGGACACTGGGATAACACAGAGGTGGCAACTATCATCCCAGGAGCCACTGTCACCCCTGAGACGGGGGGAATGAAGGGAAGAGGTTGGGGTTTACAAAACCAGAGGTTCAGAGGAGGAGCCCTGCTGAGCTGGGACCCAGATCTCTGAGCAAGAGTCGCTGCCAGGCTGGTGCTGGTGTCTCTGGCAGTGTTTCAGGGGTCGGTTCTAGGAGTGGAGGGGAAAAAGCTGAACGCTGATAGCAATGGCCAAACTGCCACAGCCTAGGACGGGCCACTGCTGCAGTGACGCCGCCCAGAAGAAGGAGCAATACGGAAAGAGGCTTTTTTCTTTTCCCCTCCCAGGCTTCCAGTCTGGGGCTTCCTCTGGT